GGAGGAGGAGGAGGAGGAGGAGGAGAGGAGAGGGACAACAACAACAATTTTGACAGGAGTGTGGGAGAGTGAGAGAAGACAATTCTGTCAGTACTGGCATGCCAGCACAGAAGTGGATCCGGCTCACTGTATGAAGTTATTGACAAGACTGTGGGTGTGCTCTGGGGCTATTGACAGGTTTCCCAGTCAATTGAAGAGGATGGGTTTATCATGGGAAGGTGACAAACCATCAACGGTTCGCACACAATCATTATGCCACTTTCATACAATAAGATCCTTAAATACATTGCAGGCTATCCCCAAGTTACAAACATATGACATAGTTAAGAATAGGGGGGAGACAACAGGAAATGTGAGAAATATAATTTTAAGGAAAGCAAAGTCACTTCTGAAAGAGTTATCATGGTGAAAAAGTGTCTCCACGGAAGCTTTATCCCCAATCCTTGTTTCCACAACAAGCCAACATTTCCAAAATCCAATTATCACAGAGACAGACAGTGAAGTGAAATCTTCTCAATAGGGGCACAGCAAAACAAAAACCACAGGAGGTTATCCTTTCCCTATGCTCGCCAAAGCTAAAAATATCTATATTTTTAGCTGGAGTTACACTTTAAAATGTACCCATTTTGACTTATGTACAAATCCAACTTAACAACAGACCTACAGAACCTATCTTTTTCATTACTTGTGGATTGCCTGTATAGTGTTCTGAATGTTATTTGAAAAGAGCAACAAGACATTTTGGGGTAAAGCATTATGGTGTATTTTCATGGCAGCTCTTCCTCAAAGATTATGCTTCTGGAGCAGCATGGTTCTCCCTTTCTGTCAGAAAGATTATTACAAATTAGCTGTTATGGGGATGACCAGATTGTGGGGAAGCAGTTATTTTGTTGGTGTATAAATTGCTCATGACTTTTCAGCAAAAACACTACTACTACTTGTAATTTCGCTAACAATTCCTAATTTATGATCCAGATGATTGATTGATGGTCTTTAAGAAGAGCTGCATTCTCTTTTGGCTTTTCTACCTTGTTTCCACCAGTCAAATTCCATTAAATACAAACAGATTTTTATTGAATTTCCTTGTCAGCCAATCACTCCAGTCATAAATGTGCAAAGTAGTCTATGAAGTACTCTAATGATTATTATTTTTAGTACCATTATTCTGTTGAGAAAGGGAGAAATAAAAGTGGAAATTCCCAACTTATATTAATGATAATGGCGACTATGTCAGTATCTTATTGTATGATTTGGATTTATATGATTTTGTCCCAATAAACTGTTAAAATTTAGCTTGAATTCTGAGACCAATTAAAATATTTATAGTATTTCAGTAAAAAATTTCCTGTGTTTGGAGACTCTTTATGTAATATTGCCAGCTTTTGCTGCTGTATTACATGACCCAAAATATATTACTTGAGGCTGTTTTGGATTTTAGATCTCTGCTACCACATTTCCTTTCCTTTTTTTAAACTAGCCTCCTCACAGTCAGAGCCACAACAGGGTTTTTTATAGTCTAAAGGAAAATTAAATCATACCAAGTCTGTTGTGCTCTGAATATTTGCTTTGAAATGGCTGGCTTTGAAATGAACAAGCGTTACTTTGAACTAAACATATGCTGGGGACAAGCAACAGCTTTAAAGAGATTTGTTTTTAAAAGGTGACGAGATTTTGTCCTGTGGTATGCATGCATATCCCTCAATTGTCTTTGGGGAGACTGGCTGAGTTGAAAGAGCCAATTCTATGCTCTGAAACAAGCTATGCTCAATGCAAGATAAAATGATGTACAGGACTTCCAAACCTCGGCCCTTTTTCAAGAAGCCACTCCCCTTTGATTAGCCTAGAGTAGGGCTATCAAACTCATTTTCATGGAGGGCCACATCAGCCTTATGGTTGCCTATAAAGGGCAATTGAATCAATGCATGGAGAATCCATGGACACAGATAATCAACTAACATAATGGTTAGTGCTCTTTAGTTTTTATTCAAACTAGGTCCCCAGATGTTATCAAACCACAACTCTCATAACTTTTGATTATCCACCACATGGACTGGGGATAATGGGAATTGCAACCCAATAGGATTTGTGACTCTGAGGTTGGGGATAGGTTAATGGACATTATAACATCAGACATTATATCCATAAGCCTTGTATCTAAATTCAAAGCTCACTATCCAGACTAAACAGTAGGCATGGATAGAGCCACGTCGGATAACTTGTTGCTCAGAATAATTTAGTTAAAATTACCTTTTGGAAGCAATTTCGAAGCGTTTTTAAAAACCGGAAGTCCCTTTCCCCTTTTGAAGCTTTTCCCTCCATTTTTGTTATAACTCAGGAAGTGAGCCTGAAATGATTCAGCGTATTTTCAGCCCCCTAGCCTGCTGGAGCCTCCCAGCCAATCAGGGGAGATGTTTTGAGAAGGAGAGGGGTTTTGGCCCTGGCAGCCATTGCTGTATATAAAGGCGAGCACATGGCTCAGAGGCTCATTTGGAACTGGGAAGGGAGAAGGGAAAGAGAAAGACAAAGGGAAGGGAGGTTGTGTTGAAGGAAGATTGGAAGAAGAGAATGGCGGGCAAGCAACCAAGCAGAGAAGAAGGGCTGGGAGAAGGGCTGCTGCCTGCTGGGCAGCCTGTCTTGCTGCTTGTGTGTTGTTGCTGTTGGGGTTTGGGATGGGTGGGGGGCACCATGAGGGTACTGTGTGGGTTAGTGGTGTGGGTGGAAGGAGCAACACAGAGGTACCAAAGCACTCACTCCAACATGATTAAAAGCCAACGTTGTAGTTGGTCTCTCTGGCCTCAGTGTTTTTAGTTTGTGTTGCACTTTGCCTCAAAAGAACTAGATCTCCCATCAATTCAAGCCACTCCTTGAACACAAACTCTCCTTCCTAAAGTACTGAAATCAGCTTCCAAGGCTTTCAAGCCCATACTTCCTTAACTTGTGAAATCAGCTTAGAAGGCCCCAAAAACTTTCAGGGTTGGGCTGGCTGTTTGCTATTTCATTTATTTGCTGTTAGTTGCCTAAGAAGACACTACAAATCCCATACTTTCAAGTGATTCAGAAATTTCGGAAAGTTCCGACATTTTTTTCCAGAAAAATTCAGAATTCAATTCCAAATTGAAGCACCAGTGCCCCCTACATCAGAAATGAGTTTTGGACCATTTTCTTTATCAACCAAGCCTGCTAAATAGCACAGACTGCAGCCTTCTAGAGTTAACTGTATCACAACTCCTGTCAGTTCTAGTCATGCTGTCTAATGATGAGGAATACAGGAATTGTAATCTAGGATCAGAAGGGCCACATAAAATGAAATGCCATGCCAAGCAAGATGTGGCCTAGAATTGGACATAATTTCTGTTGCAAAAGTGTTGAGGAAAAGGAACATGCAGAGATTTTCAGGATTCCCATACCTATGGGAATAGCATGAGAAAATGTGCGGCCACACAGTATCAGATGTTATGTACAAACTAGCAGAACAGCCTCAGAACTATAAGCAACTCTGTGAACAATTTAAAAAAGCTTTTCACTGTAATAATGTGAGATCTGACAAATAATAAAAATGAAGAATTCTTTCACAGTGTTTCCCAAACTCAGATCTTCTGGATTCCCAGAATCCCTGATCACTGGCCAAAGTAGTGGATACTTCTGGAAACTGAAGTCCAAAATAGCAGGAGTTCTAGGGTTTGAGAATTGCTAGGACATTGATTTCAGTCTGGAATCCATAGGTGGATTATTTTTTTTTAAAAAAAATCCACTTAGTCTGGTGAAGAATACTAGCGAATTCAAAAGCTTGCATCATCTTGAGGAATTCTGGTTAGTCTCAATAAATTAGTGGTGGGAATCAAATAAGCCAATAAACAGTTCTGAACTAAACCCTATACTCTCATGTCTAAAAAGATAAAGATTAGCCTGCTGTACAGGGCATAACACAACAACAGTTTGGTTTATAAATCAAAAATATGTTTTGCAGAGTGTTGTACTCAATGAGTTTGAAGAATAGAAATTATTGTTTCTTTCCAGGTAAGCTATTTGAATATGAAAACTTGATGGCTTTATTGATTTGCAAAGAGATGTTGTCCAGCCAGTCTTTGATATGGGATGGATCTGACACACCCATTAAGAAAGTTATTTGAAATATATTGGTGTTAACAACAACCATCAAGCACCTCCTTATGCTGTGGTGTCATTCTTGCAACTCTAATATTACAGCAGCTGGATTTAAAGGTATCTTTGTTTGCATATTGAAGAATGCAAGATCCGTATTTTTTCATTTTAGGGTGAGTCCACAAGACCAACACTTACCACTCACACTCAAAAGGGTTTTAGTAAGCTTAAACACACAACTATTGCTATTTTACTATTGGCCTCTAATGGTTTAAATCAGAGGGACCTTTTTTATACCCTGAGATCTGCCAGTTTGTTTGTTTGAGTGGTTTTTGGACTATGGAAAACAAACCAACCCAAACTCCCAAATGGCTGGAAGTCCACTCGGGTTCTCAAAACATTAGGCAGTACATGGAAGATTTAAATGCCATACAAATGGCAATTGTGCTTAGAGTCTTTCAGGGGGAGCAATTCAACCTCCTTCTTTGGCCAGGGAACAACTGGAGATGGAGGGTGCTCTAGATGGCAAAGGGTAAAATTTTGGCCACCCATATTTTGAATGTTAAAGTTTGTTGTTGTGTGCCTTCAAGTTGTTTCTAACTTATGATGAACCTAAGGTGAACCTATGACAGGGTTTCCTTGGCAAGATTTGTTACAAGGGAGCTTGTCTTTACCTTTCTCTGAGGCACAGAGTATGACACTTTGCCAGGATTACTCAGTGGGTTTCTATGATTGGAGCCCTAGTCTCCAGAGTCATAGTCCAACAATCAAACTACTGTATCATGCTGACTTTCATAGGTAGTCAAATTCTACTTTAATCATATTATTTTTACATGTTTTAGCTAGATTTGTTTCTTATCCCATCCCTGAGTTTCAGCTTTAGGAAGAAAACACATAAATGACAAAAAGAGAAATCCTTGTTTCCAATCAGTGTCATCCTGGTCCTTTGTGAGGTATTTCCTGTTCACGGTTGGTGAGTTTGCTGAGAGGATGGAACTGTATTATTATAGAGGGAGAAGTTTCCAATAAAACAGTACGGCATTTCTTTCCCATGGCTACATTCCTGGGGATACAGGATAGTCATCACAAAGCCAACCATCATCACCACCACACCAATAGTGAGGATCAGGCCAGAGAGGAGGTGATCAGAATGAATCCATCGCTCTTCAGACAGCTTCAGGTAACAGGCTGCAGGCAGAATGAACACCAGTGGTGTAGCACTGAGCACCCCCTGCAAATAAGAGTCAAAATATTGTAACTCATTATGTGTAAAGACTAAAACAGAAGTGAAACTGAAGAAAATATACAATGATTTCCGGTTGAAGCTAAAAGGAATTCTTACCAACAGCCACAAGATCCTTAGAAATATCTTAGAATACTGCAAATGGTTTGATAATTTTGCAACAACTTGGAAGCTTTACCCAATAAATATGAAAATAGTCCTTCCTCGAGAAAAACTCAAAGTCACAGAAATTGGTGTATTTCAACCTTCATCCTCAGACAGAAAAGAAGGATACTAATATTGATAGCTATATGATGGGGCTGTTATAATGTTCTGGAGTATTGAAGATGTTGTATGCCTGTGAACAATGATTCCCCCTCCCAACATACTTTACAAGCTCAGCAGGAATTTGGTAAAGTTGGTGAAAGTTGAAATAGTGTCTGAGCCAAAGGGAACCAGTGAGTTCTTGGGAAAAAGGATAATCTATAATTCAGAACATCCTACTCTAGGACCACTCATCACTTGAGATATTGCTGTATACAAGTTCTTTTTTTTGTTACTATTTATAACTATCTTTATTAAATAATACACTAGGAAGCAAATCCTGTTAATTGGTGGGGGATGGGGTCCGTATATATTCATGTATAAGTGTAGAAATTTTAGTCAGGAAATCAACCATAAAAACCCTTATCCACAGGTCAATGTGAGTACTGGGGCTGTGCAAATTTCATTGGTGCCTCATTTGTCGTATCTATTTTGTAAGATTAATGCATACAACTCAATATTAAGAAATGTGAGGGCCACTGATGTAAAAAACTTAAGATTCAAAACATTGAACTTTGACTTTCAGAAAAGTTATGTAAGTCTTGTAAATGGCTCTAGGTCTCCATCGCAGGTGCCTCTTCTTCCCTGAAATGGCTGTATTTGTTCGTTGTCGTCCCCCTCCCCCCCCCCAAAAAAGAGCTCTGAGGAGGATGGTGAGGCTGGAGTAGACGTAGAAGCCCCACTCTTTCCCCAAAGGGAGCGAAGTGGGGGGAAACCTGGTAGGATGGCCTGGCAAGGAAGAAGCCCCTCCAGCACATGGTCGGCCCAGAGAGAGACAGGCAGAGACCACTCTCACATTGAGGCTTAAATGCGAGAAGTGAGCAGAATTCTGGGAAATGTAGTTTAGGGCAGGTTCTTTTGAATTCATTGCCACAGGGGTCCTCTCCTTCCCAAACTACATTTCCCAGAATTCTGCTTACTGTCTTGTGCCACCACTTCCTTCTCCTTCCTGAAAGTTTTGGAGGGTGAAAATCCGTGTTCATTCTCTTCAGGGATTTTGAGATAAAAGGGGATTATTGGGAGCTAAATCAACCCTGTGAAGTTGGCAGTGTTGAGAGGCAGTAACTCCAAAGTTTAGCTAGCAGATTTCCTATTATTATTATTATTATTATTATTATTTCAAAGGCTGGATGAGCATCTATTGGGGGTGCTTTGACTGTGCTTTTCTTGCCCGGCAAAAGGGGGTTGGGCTGGATGGCCCCTGGGGTCTTCTAGTGAAATACTACTATTAAGTTTATGTTGGTTCAAATTCCCTAAAAATCAGTAGATGTGCAAATCTTTTTGAAACTTGGGGGTGGGGTGGGGAATGCTACCCTGGTTATGCTGTATCATTGAAAATAGAAATTCAAGGAGATAGCTTTTGTAGTTTTTTAAATGTTGTTCATAAAACTTTTTTAAAATTCCCAAAAATCAGTGGATGTGTGATGGGGGGGGGGGGAGTGCTCTCCTCGTCACTCACTTAAATATGACAGTTCATAATGCTAGTGTGGTGTGGGTGTGCGCTGAACACCTTAATTGACGTGTGAAGTAGTTTGAAGTGGGGGTTTGTGTGCGCGCGTGCTGTACCAAAATGTGGTTGGACGCTGAGGCCGGACGTCATGGGCGCCTGGTGAGGTGTGAACAGAGTTTGTAAAGGATGGATGTGAGAATACGCGCGGGGGTTTTATGTCTGATGTGTATGTCTCGATCTACCTTCTGTACGACACACATGGCTCCTCTCCACTTGGCTGCGATCCGTGCCGTGATAATCGTGCTCACTTCCGGCAGTCGGCGGATATGATCTGCGGCCTTCGTTGTGGTATCTCGCTGGTAGGGTTGTTTAATAATTATCTCTGTGTGGTGGATGGGTGCCGGGTAGAAAAGGGCTAGGGTTGGATGTGGGATTGACAGGCCCATGATTCATAAATGGGATGGAAGGGAAGGGAAATATTCTACGTGTGTGATGTGTAATACAGAAGGGTGTGTACATAGCAGTAGGAAATTTTTGAGGTTGATATGTTTGAAAGGTCTGTATGATAGGGAGAAAGTTTGGTAGGGGTGATGGGGTGGACGTAATTATGTGTGACAATGTTAGGTCAGACGGTTTTTGTTTGTGTTGTCATCCTTTACTTCTGGTGGGTTAGAGTGGCGTATTTTTGTGTGGTGGCACACATAATTCTTTTGCTGTGTGATAAATAGCTGATGTGTGTATGCTGTGGGCGGTATGCAATGTTAGATAGGGGTGATTTTATATGGTTTGGAAGTGTCTCTAGTGTGTCCCTTCGCATGTTACTATTAGTTGTCTACTGTCTGGTGGTTGAGTGTTGTGCGGTTGGGTGTGGTCACCCCTTGCTAGCAGTTTAAAGAGGGTATGTTTTGTCTTTAGTGGGATGTGACTTCACTCGTGGTGAGTGTGTAACGTAGCATTGCACTATGTTACATGTGTGATTAGTTGTGTTTGGGTTTCTTTTAGTTGCTGCGTGGTTGGTGTTTCGTTTCGGTGTGACCGTCATTTCGTGGATTACGATACTGACCTATAAAAGATATAAAGGATAAACAATCTATGGATTCATCCAAGAGTATGGGAGACATAATATGAAAGAAATGTCTGAGCATAAAGTATTTAGTTGAGAAGATATTTGAAAAACAACAGGCGAATAGTAATGTAAGACTATAGTTATGGTCGCTCCGGATATGATAACAATGGTGCCTTAGAATGTATTACTGATATCACATAGTGCGACTCTAGTATAGAAATGGTGTGAAGCCGGACAGAGGGTGTGGTAAGGGAGGCCAGATGCGGCATAAAACCGATCCATATTCTCTCACGAGTAGACATCGGGTGATCTACACTAAGATGTGGTTCATGAACAGAGAGGGTTTACTTTGAGTTTAGGAACTTTTTTTCAACATAGTTGACGATGTACGTTGCATAAATATGAGAGAGTGGCAACAGGAATGACAAGAGAGGAGGAGGTTAGAGTTCAATATATGAAAAGTTGGCATGAGTTATTAGTAATCTAGCATTCTAAAATAAATAGTATGATACTCGGACGGAGTTACTGTGAAAGGAAATCTATCGGATTGAAGGATATACACAGTCTAAGTAAAAGGAGGTGAATACAAGGAGTGTAAAAGAAACTAAATTGGGAAAAATGTGGGATAGAAGAATAGCGCCACGTGTAATGTTATGAATGTAAAGGGGAAAACTAAAGTGATGAGATTTCATTAGAGTATGCAGTAGTCAGCATAGTAATGAAAAGTGTGTGGTTTCAGGTGATAAACATGAAGAGCTTTCAATTTATTATGAGTATGATGCAACTTTCCAGCCAGAACATATGGATAAATGTTGAGTCAAACTTTCCCTTATGTTCGGTCCAGGAGCTCACAGAACAAACAACCCCCACATCTCTTTTCCTGAAAGAAACATTATTTTTATAACTTCATTGTCTTGCCATTAAGAAACACAGCACGTCTTCCTTCGGCATATCCTGCTAACACAATAACACAATGAGGTAACAATCTAAGTTAGTCAGTCACTGTTATAACAATGCAGGAGAGGAATTCCTCCCCGAATACTTTACTAGTCACTTACATTTAGCTCCAATACTATTCCCAAGCAATCATACACCAAAGAGATGCTTGTAGCTACAGCAACAACAACTATGGTCACAGCAATGTGGTAAAACGTTGTGAGGTCCCCACTGAAAAGTACATTTGCAATGACCTGAAAGAGAAATGCCATTTTAGGTGATGTTGAGACAGGTCACTTATTTGAATGAGTTGATGGCATATTTAAGCCTTATGTGCTTATATACACAAAACAAGAGCGGACTTCAGTGAAACATCTTTGCTTCCCAAATGTTTTCTGTACTTAGTTTATTTCTGTATTTCATAATGGTCACTATTGTGTCATCTAAATACTGAGCCTTTTCGTGTATTTTAGAAAAAAAGATTAGTGACTTATACTTGCTATAATTCCCCATAATTTTTAAAATTTAGGTTCCAAAAAGCAATTTCAACGTATAATTCAAATATAATAAATTAAATATTCATTAAAAGCAGAGGTCAAATACTTCCCCAAGAAAGCAAAAGCAGGATATCTGTTAGTAGATTTAGCACTTTTTGTCTTACATTCTCAAAAGTGTTGTGCTTGCGCCAACATTCTGTAAGAGCATCATTTCCGAAATTCTTTGGTTGATTTTGTCCCACCTCATAATCTTCTACCTTAAATAAGTTTTTTTCATCCACATAATTTCTCACATGGTAATTTTACAAGGTCTTTAGCCTTCTCTGTCAAAGTGTGTTGGTACTACGCCAAACTACAGCTCCCATGAATCTATATTAATGAACCATAGAAAGTACAATGATGTCAAACTGCATCAATTCTACAGTGTCAATACCCCTTAAGTCACACCATTTTATTATGTCATTGTACTGTATACAACAGCAACAGAACATCTGTGGATTGTGGTATGATTGGGAGGGGGGTGTCCTGGGACCAGCATGGGGACCAAACCCGAGCAGATACTAAGGACCTGCTGTAATTTATAGAAGATGTAGTACTGTAAATTCAACATTTGAAAATAGTGTTTCTTTCAAAAACAGTTAAGATGACCAAGGTCCCTTCCACACAGATGAATAAAATCCCATATTATCTGCTTTGAAATGGAATATATGACAGTGTAGATTCAGATATCCCAGTTCAGTTCAGATATTGTAGGATTTTCTGCCTTGGTATTCTGGCTATGTGGAAGGGCTCTTAGAGCCATTGAATCGACAAGTTCACACTTCCTTAATGCTACACTGGATAAGAATAATCCACATTGTAGAACACATATGTAATATCAGTGTTTCCAAAACATCTAATTGTTACACTGTGCTTTCTCTGAAGTCAATATGCATTAAAAAAAAAGCGAATGGGATTTTGGCCTGCATAAATAGAATTATAGCATCTAGATCAGTGTTTCTCAACCTTCCTAATGCCTTGATCCCTTAATAAAGTTCCTCATGTTGTGGTGACCCCCAACCATAAAATTATTTTTGTTGCTACGTCATAACTGTCATTTTGCTACTGATATGAATTGCAATGTAAATATCTGACATGCAGGATGTATTTTTTATGAATTGGACCAAATTTGGCACAAATACCTGATACGCTCAAATACTGGTGGGATTGGGGGGATTGATTTTGTCATTTGGGAGTTGTAGTTGCTGTAATTTATAGTTCACCTATAATGAAAGAGCATTCTGAACTCCACTAACGATGGAATTGAGCCAAACTTGGTACACAGAACTCCCATGACCAACAGAAAATACTGTGTTTTCTGATGGTCTTTGGTGACCCCTCTGAATCCCTCACGACCCCTCCAGGGGTCCCGACCCCCAGGTTGAGAAATGCTGATCTAGATCCAGGGAAATCATGCTATCCCTATATTCTGCCTTTGTTAGCTCACATCTGGAATACTGTGTCCAATTCTGGGCAATGCAAATTAAAGGGAGATGTTGACAAGTTGGAATGTGTCCAGAGGAGGGTGACTAAAATGATCAAGGGTCTAGAGAACAAGCTCTATAAGGAGTGGCTTAAAGAGCTGGGCATGTTTAGCCTGCAGAAGGCTGAGAGACATGATAGCTATGTATAAATATGTGTGAGAGGAGGCCACAGGGAGGAGGGAGCAAGCTTGTTTTCTGCTGACCTGGAGACCAGGACGCGGAACAATGGCTTCAAACTACAAGAGAGGAGATTCCATCTGAACATTAGGAAGAACTTCCTGACTGTGAGAGCTGTTCAGCAGTGGAACTCTCTGTGGTGGAGGCTCCTTCTTTGGAAGCTTTTAAGCAGAGGCTGGATGGCCATCTGTTGAGGGTGCTTTGAATGCAATTTTCCTGCTTCTTGGCAGGGGGTTGGACTGGATGGCCCATGAGGTCTCTTCCAACTCTACGATTCTATGATTCGATGAAAACAGTGAACTAGCTTGGCAATCCTAATTCCCGATTCAGTGTCCTAGCTTTAGAGCCTGGAATATATGTTAAAGCTCATTAAGGAAACAAAGCATTTTCTCCATTTCCTTCCTGTTTTAAGAAAAACCGAGTGGGATTTTCTCTTCTGATATTTCCACCAATGAGAAATAAATTGATTATAACAGCTTTACTTCATCTCCTTTCTTTCCTTCTTTTGGCCACTGATATTACAAGTGAGTGGGCATTCTTTTTGCAAGAAAATTCATCACAATCAGTTTTGCATTATAAGAAAACAGTCATTTCTGCTAGTGCCAACAATGAAAAAATATTCAGAGGTTGCTTGAATTGAAAAGTATTAAAAGTTCAGCTTTCTAGGATCAAGAGTCAGAACTCCAACTCTGAGCATTTATTGCAAAGTACTGTATTAAGATTTCTGAAATAAATAGTGACTCATTGAATTTGAAAATATATACATGTTTAATGCTCACCTCTCGGGTAACAAAACATTCTAATGGAAAAGTCAGGATGACGGTGATTCCATAACAAAACCTTCCAAATGTAGCAAGGTCATCATCCCTGCAGTAATTTTCAAATATGTCTCCTGGATGTGGTAGACAATAAAATTAATATTATCCTCATAAGTATTAAGAGAGATACAGGCATTTACAGAAACTTTTCAAAAGGAAGCCAACATTTATTATTGGCAACTCCACAAAAACAGGATAACCAGAGTCACAAACACTAGCTTGGAATCTGAAAATACTCCTCAGACATGCTTAATCCTTCTAGGATTAGAAGAAGCTGAAAAGCCAAACTATAAAATAACTTCGTAAAATATACTTCTAAGATTACAACTGTTTATCAACCATATATCAAAAGATGAAAAGCACAGTACTAACTATAAGCTAGTAAAAGTGTAATATGATGCACAACACTGTTCTGGATTTATTGGTTGATTTTCCTCATTCTTGTGACAGTCCAAGAGACACAAACTCTGATCTGCTCATGGGAATCTTTGGGTTCATCAACAATGTAAAAGTCTGATCCAGATTAACCTTAAGGTGGCTTTGTCCCAGGTTAAGGAAAGTCAGAAGAAAGCCCGACTCTTGAGCTAAGATTAGGCTTTCCCATGACTTTAGGACTGTCAAGACACCTAGACCAGTTCCTAACCAGAACTGGCTGCATGTTCCCTGGACTGCCTGAGCCTTTGCTTCCAACAGCAAATAAATATTAGAATTCTTTATTCGAGGAGTAAATCATACAACTAAAGCTATGCAATATTTCAGAAGTGCAAATTTGGGTGAATATTTGAGATGTGAATGAAAGAAGTAATTGGATCTAGAAAATTATCAAGCAAATAGATGTTAAGTAAAAAAAAACACCCTAATTTTCCATAGAATTCTGTACAAGCAGAATACATACATACAATCCTGACGACTGTACAAGGAGATGGAAGTTTAGCTCAGTTAAATCAGAGTCAGAAACTGTTAAAGCTGTTTTGGGCTACAGCTCTCAGAATTCCATAAGAAGTATGCCCAAATTTTCCTTAATGGTAAAGGTTTCCCCTTGACAGTCCAAGGGACATAAACTCTGATCTACTCATGGGAATCTTTGGGTTTGACTCTGGGTGGTGGTACTCATCTCCATTTCTAAGCTGAAAAGCCGCCGTTGTCACACCTTCACGATCATGTGGCCGGCATGACTGCATGGAGCGCCATTACCTTCCCGCTGAAGTGGTATCTATTGATCTACTCACATTTGTATGTTTTCAAACTGCTAGGTTGGCAGAAGCTGGGGCTAACAACAGGAGCTCATCACATCCCTTGGATTCGAACCGCTAATCTTCCGGTCAACAAGTTCTGCAGCTTAGTGGTTTAACCCGCTGTGCCACCATAGCCATGCTTACTATGATTAAAACATTTAAGTAAACAACAGATATCTCTGAATGGAACAATTTACCTTCTGTAAATTCTTTAAATGTCAAATATCCACATGTAGCAAACACCAAGCTGACAAAGACAGCAAATGAAACCGACACATGCGTGACACGAGTCCAGTTGCTAAGCGTGGGTTCTTTCAAGGAGCCATATATTAAAAAACTGTTGTGATGGCAAATGAATGCTGAAAGAGATATAGCAATTCAGAAAACAAAACATATACAATAACCTTCACATATTTAGTAAAGTGGCTGTAAGACAGATGTATTGCAAAACAATGGAACTGTAAAAATAGAAAATCATTTTTCTACGCAGAATGCCCGAGGGACTGCAGGATTCAGATTTTTGAGCTATCCTTGGGAATATCTTGAATAAAACATGGGATGAAAATCTACATACATGCAAACTTATTTGGTTTTTTAATTATGTAGATGTTTATTAATCCTCTGTCAAAATTGGAAATCTTATGGCCACACCAGATGTTTCTCTATGGACTATCATGGAAAATAAAATTCACACATTTAGCTTTCCTTTCCCAATCTGTAACGTTCTGTTGAGCTTATCTGCATCTTAGGATGTATCAACACTGCAGAATGAATGCACTTGGACTCCATTTTAACTGTGATGCCTCAACACTATGGAATCGTGGGATTTTTAATTTTATAATCTCTTTAGCCTTCTTTACCCCAAAATGCTGATGCCTCACCAAACTACAACTTACAGGATTCCATTGCACTGGAGACTCAGAAGAAAAGTTGTATAAACTGTAGGACATACCAAATGACATCACCCCAATGGCTTGTACAGCGTTTGGTTTTGCAAACACCCAGGGATTTTCTGTTGGAGATCTGTAAGAGAAGCGTACACTGAGAAGTTTCCATTTTTCCCATTAGAATTGTCAGAACCTGCCAAGAGGTAAACAATAATAACTATACTATTTGGAACATGTATGTATGGAAGACACAGCCTTCATAAACTGGAGATCACTTCACTTCTGGCCTAGCATCAACTGAAGGAGTATGGTAGCTAATTAAAGTTATATGGAATTAGCAACCATGAAGTTATATTACTCCTCTTATATAGCTACACACATGTGCACACACCTAGATAGACTTGTCTCAGGCACTTTGTGAGAACCATGGCCCATAGCACCATACATAGAGAGGGATATATTGCATAGTAGTTTTGAGTGTTGGATTATGACTCGGGACCACGGCCCATTCCACATTGCTCCTTTATCTCAGGATCTGACCCCAGATTATCTTCTTATCCCAGATTATCTGGCAGTGGAGACTCATATAATCCAGTTTAAAGCAGATAACCTGGGATCAGATTATGTGGGCAGTGTAAAAGGGGCCCAGGGTTCAAATCCCTATTTGGCCATAGGAACTCACTAGGTGAGTGTGGGCAATTCTGACTCTATCAATTCATAGGAAGGCAGAGATAAATCCTCCTCTGAACAAACTTTGCCAAGAAAACCCCATGATATAGATTTGCCTAAGGGTTACCATAAGTGAGAAACAACTTGAAGCCATGTAACAACACAATTATATCTGGTAGGCCCACATCAACAGCACCATTCAACACTAAGCTGGGGGTTACACTCAATGGCCCATGAAACCCCTTCCTACTCTTACGATTCTGTAATTCTGAACATTGCAAAATCAGTATTGTTCTCTTTTCTGCCTGCATTCCTCTTTATAGCAGAGGCTGCTGCTGCCACCTGCTGTCTCATCTTCTGGATTTTTCAGTGACCTGAAAAGTATCTTGGATGATCTAAAAGTTGTCCAATGCAAAAGACACAGTTATCTGGGCTTGCTCCCTGCTACTAACACAATGACTTTTCTGAAGCATCATTGATCCTGAGTCAATGCAACTTAGATTTTTATCATCCCCACCAATTCTAGAAAGTTTGTTCCATAATATCCCCCCTTCTTTACAGATTTATCACTTGCACAATCCTCAATAGCACAGAGGGGGTTATTTTAAAGTTAGTGAGTGAGGATTAAGCTGGAATTCATTTGAATCTACTTGTAAAGAAATTAATATATCATTCTATTTGTTGTTTCAAAGCATATGATGACAACATATTAACAGCATAATTCTACATACAACTATTCAAAAGAAAGACTCGTTGTGTTTAATGAGATTTGCTTCCAGGTAGAACAGGTGTGTGGTAAATACAATTCCTTACTCATTTACAATTGTGGGTGGATATAATTTACAAGACCTTCTGTCTGGACTCTCTTCCTAGGTTTGTCTTATTCCTTTTTGACCTGGATCTGGAGAACCAAGACTCCTTCTACATAGCTGTATAAAATACACATTATCTGCTTTGAACTGACTTATATGGCAGTGTGGACTCAGATAATCCAGTTCAAAGCAGATAATGTGGATTATCTGCCTTGATATTCTGGGTTATATAGCTGTGTAGAAGGGCCCCAAAATGGTGACTGACATCAGTTGCTTCTGTTAAAGGCAACTATTAAAATTTGAAACAAATGTTTACAACGTGGATCTACAACTCCCAGAATTCCTCACCATCAATGCTGACTAAAGCAGATAGGATCTGGAGAACACTGGGTTGGGAAAGGCTGGTTTAATGGCTGCTGCTGGAAGAAACATAAAGTTTTCTATTAAAAAATGTATTTTTGCTATTAGGATTAGTTCTTTGCTATTGCTATGTGCCTTCAAGACTTCTGGTGGAGTTATCTTGGCCCTCTCCTAGACAGTAATTTGTTGGGATGGGGAGGTGGGTGGTGGATAAGATTTATCCAGAAGCAATTTTGATCATCTTCCTCCAGGACTGAGGGCTCACCCAGACAGGCCCAGAAAGTGGGACCTGTGTGGGTTTTTACCGGGGGCGTTCAAACAATGCCCCAGTAGAAATGAATTGATTTGGAATAAACCAAGGTTTCCTTAGTTTGTTCTGAATTAATTCGATACCCCATTAGATCCGGGCCTTCCTGAAAGGCCTGAGTTTAATAGGGTATTGGGCTTGTGGGTACTCACTTCCAGGACTACCTGGGAGCAACTCCTCACCTCCCAGCCCCCCTTCCCTCACCACAGGCTTGCCAGGCACAAGGGCTTCTCTGGAGAGCTGGGAAACCAGAGCTGAAAATACCAAAAATACAACAGCAGGGAAAGGGCTGATGAAAACAGAATGCTCCAGCTGATAATAGTATGTTTAAGTTGTAGTTGCACTATAGCACAAGTTCACTGCTCATTCTATTCCAATAAACCATGTAGCATCAAAATCAGGCTGTTTTGTCAACATCTTGGAATTATTTTCTGGAGAACACAGGAAAAAATATCCTAAGTGTGGTATGATTACCAATCTGGAAATGAGGATTCAAAATCCTGCTTTGCCATGGAAACACACTGGGTGACCTTGGGCAACTCACACTCTGTCAGTCTCAGAAGAAGGCAACGACAAACCCCTTTTGAACAAATCTTGGCAAGAAAATCCCATGATAGGTTCAATTAGGGGTTGTCATGAATCAGAAATCATGTGAAGGCACAAAACAACAGCAACACTGTATGCACAAATTGGGGTACGAAGGGGAGTAGAGCTGAAATAATATATATTGTGTTTGAATTTTAACCCATTCAATTTTATTGGAAACAGAAGTAAGAGTAAAATCCGTGAAGAATGAATATTTTTAAAGCCTTAAAAGGTAAAAGGTAACTGTTTTCCCCTGACATTAAGTCCAGTCGTGTCCGACTCTGGGGTGTGGTGCTCATCCCCATTTATAAGCCGAAGAGCCGGCATTGTTCATAGACACCTCCAAGGTCATGTGGCCAGCATGAATGCATGGAATGCCATTACCTTCCTGCTGGAACGGTACCTATTGATCTACTCACATTTGCATGTTTTCGAACTGCTAGGTTGGCAGAAGCTGGGGCTGACAGCAGAAGCTCATGCTGCTCCCCAGATTCAAACCTGTGACCTTTCGGTCAACAAGCTCAGCAGCTCAGCGCTTTAACCCACTGATGAATTTGAGTGGCAAAGTTGATTCAAATTCATGTACCAGCTGTCCTGCAGCTCGAGTAGACTACTAAAAGAGGGATAATTTGATATCATGCTAGTTTTTTTTTTTTTAAAAAAAGTTCATTTTGTTAGAACTTTCAGTTCGGAAATACTATATGCATATAGCATCAATCTATCAATGATAAAATAATGATATGTGGGTATCTGTTGTTTCTAAAAACCTCATCACACTAGAGAATGAATCCAATTGAAATCGGTTTCATCCTCCTGCAGAATTCTGGGATTTGTAGTTTAGGGAGGAGCCTTTAACAGCCTCACTAAACTACAAACCCCACAATTCTGCAGGAGGCAAAAACTAGATTGATTCTCTAGTGTGATAAAGTAGTAACTGCCTTCAAGTTGACTTCTATCTTTGGCGACCCCATGATTTAGAGACCTTCCTATCCTCCACTGCCTTGCTCAGGTCTTGCAGACTCATGGCTGTGGCTTTCTCAATTGAGTCTAGTATCCGTCTGGAATGTGGTTTTTAAAAAATAGTTCTGAACTGGGAAATAGGGAGTTGTAGATGTCCAAGAGAATATACCCTGTGGAATGTACATAGAGCTTTTTGTCAGTTCAACAAAGCAGTTGGAGATGTACAATTCAGGAGAGAGATTCTGTATCTACAGACAAGCTAGAGAGAGCGCCAACTGGAATTTTGCCTAAAAGACTTCAAGACCACGTGTGTGGTTTACACTGCAAAACATATTTTACTACAGGATAGTACAAGGCAAAAGAAGGATGTAAGTACTATCGAAGGTCGCTTCTACACTGCCATATAAAATCCAGGATATCTGCTTTGAACTGGATTATATGGCAGTGTAAAAAGCATCTAAGAAGTGAACTTTCACACCCCACAATAATACCAGTCCAAGGCGGTGTATGTGGCCCATGGTTACGCTCAACCCCCTCCTGTCTCGCAGCTTATCAACTTTCAATCTTTCACAGAGTGTCTGAAGAACCTGAAATAACAAGACTACTTACACGTATCCACTGAATGTAATTGCCCTTATAATCCCAACCACCAGAATGATGACTGTTAAAATCAGGGATATAAATGATACCTGTGGATAAAAAGATAATCTGATTTTGCCAATTAGTGGTCAGAAGGCTCAAAAGCCTAGTCTTGTTTTTCAAATAAGAATAAAAGTGAGAAGGAGGGGAGGAGACAAAGGACATTCATAGCTCACTGTACAGACAGCTCAATATAATTAAATATATTTTCACATTTAAAACACAAAGTAAAAACAAAACACATTTTAAAAAGCGACACAGTAAAAATAGCATATGCTTTTAAAATTAATTACTGGATTATTTTTGTTTGCTTCTACCAGTTCATATGCAGCATTTCAACAGGGATAAACAACTTGGGGCACATCCAGACAACACCTATAGTGCGCACCCTCCCATGTTTTTCCCCCTGGGGCATCCAGACAACGCTTCAGACAACTGTAACACATCTAAGGCAATGTAGCATTTCACAGACTGTTAAAATGCTCTTGGGTAGCCTGTTTCATGCCAGATTTCCCAGCAAAAAGTCCTTGAGAAGGCTAATAACCCTACATCAATGTAAGCCAGTGAATTTCCATGTCAACCAGTTATACAGTACAATCTCCATATCTGTAGGGGATATGTTTCTGAACTTGCAATTGAAACAAGAAACCATGGATAATAAATCATATCGAAATAAATAGCTTTCACTAGAAGGTATCACAGAGGTACCTTGGCAGACCAAGAGAAGTACCTTTCCTAGGAACTTGCTAAGTCCTTCAATGCAGAAGCACACCAGAAAATCCCCTGGAGGACCTAGAAAATTCCTAGAGAGGACATATTTTGTCAGGTGTGGATAGGTGAAACCAATGGTCCTGCATGTACAATACCGTATTGATTTTCCTACACTAGTTTGTTCAACAATTTAAATATTTGTGGGATTGACACAAATGAATTTCATTACTAATTCACTACATTTTTGTCCCATATTTCTTCCCTTAGAAAAATTCAAACAGCACTAAACAGACCCAGATATGCTGAACTTAAAAAGGCAACCACACCATATCTGCCTTTTGCCCCATAAAGTGATATTACATAAATTCATGCATATGATGCTTCATCATAGCAAAGACACTTTTAACATGTCTATCCCCTGTGCCCAGTGAAACCTGACTCATTATCTAAATGAAGTTCATTTTATAAGGGATTTACCTTTGCCAGTTTTGATATATTTCGATACAGAGAAAGAGGAAGCGTGAAGATGATGGTAACACAGAGAATGATGGCATGGCGACCAAAGAAGGGATTCTCTTGATTGTTTAAAAGAAATAAAGAAATGGAAAGAAAATGATCATGGATATTTTTAAATGAAAAAATAATGTTACATTTCTCACTAAATACTGTGTGTGAGCTCTGTGCCTAAGAACATGTTCATGAAATGGGAAAAAATAAGTAGGGAAGGGGAATAGTTAGTAGTCTAATGGGCCAATTACATTCACCTTCGAAGTGGAATAAGGTTAAAATCTAACTGCATCTAGTGATGGAACAGTGTCCCTCAGAAGACCTTGCTCACTCACTGCAGTCCTCGCCTCCTTTACTTGGCCTAGATGGCTTGGGGACTCTTTGGAGCAGGCTTTTGAGGTGTCAGATATGGGAGCATAGACTGGTTGGTCCTTGCAGTCTCTTCCAACTCTATGATGCTAGAGGGAAGGGGACAATTTGCACAGCTAGAACTAGTGTTTATTCCCAGAGACATCAGATCTAGCTATGGTGACACATGCCTTGATCACATTTCACTTGGATGACAGTAACACATACAACATGGGTCAGCCTTTGGAAACTGTCTGGAAACAGCAATATGTGACAAATACTTCAGTCGGTGTTAGTTGAAGGAAAGGTATAACTCCTATATTGCAACAATGTAAGTGGCCATCAGTCTTTTTCCAGACATAATTCAAAGTGCTGGTTGCAACCTTCAGAGCCCTATATGACTTGGGGCAGTATCAGAGAGACTATCTTCTTCTATAAGCCTGCTCAAAGCTTAAGATCCACAGAGAAATGCCATCTCTCTGTCTCACTACCACCACTGATGCATTTGGTGAAAGCAAGGGTAAGAGCCTTCTCATTGTGGTAACTTGTGGAATCTCCTCCTACAAAAGGTTCATTCAGCTTTGCTTACACTCTGTCCACAGACAGGCAAAGACCTGTTTTATTTAGACATGCTTTTGGCTCTTTGGTTCCTGTGGTAAATGCTATTTTAACTGGTGTGTTCTCTTTTTATGGGGTTTTAATGCATTTTAAACCGTAATTTGATATATTTAATAAAACTTTTTACTTAATATTTTTAAACTTTTGTATTGAATAGGCTTGGTTGCATATGTTTGAAATTGATGTGTGATGCCTTGGGCCATCTGCCAGGAGAAAAGTGGGATATAAATAAATGAGTAAACCTTTTAACATGTTTAAAAGTTGAATTAGATACAAAGACCACAAGCTGCCTTGAGTCTCCATATTGGGAGAAAGGTGGGATAATAATAAAGTAAATTTAAAAAATAACATTTTATGTTTTATGAAACTAGGGAGTTTGGTGAAAAAAAATGTAGGGCAGTGGTGGGAAGTGATATGCATAGACAGTGGAAAACCAAATCACACATGGTTTGAAGTGACTGCAGGCCATGAGAAATATTTATACATTTAATCCCGCCATCAATCCCATTTTTCTATTCCACCTATTTTTCAAAAGTAGGATTCAATGCAGCTTCAAATCTCCACTTCATGCAGGAGCAGGGGAGTCAACCGTTGGTAGAAAACATACCTATTCATTAATAGATGATCTAGATCCTATTACAACTCTCAACTATTATAGACCCAACCCATCAGAACTTGATAAACCATGTCTATAAATAGCTGATTCATAAAGAAATATTTGAAATATTCAATCAGCTTTCCTAACAAACAAAAAAATGTCACAGACATACCTCCAAGAATCCTTTGGAAAACTTTTGTCAAAGTATCTCCTGTTATAATGTTGTAGCTGATCATAGCTTTAAAAGAAAAAATATTATTTAATAAAATTTAGAAAAGATTGTTGTTCTTAATTATCTCAAGCAAGCTTCAACTTATGTCAACCCTATGAAGCCTAATGTCAGCCTTAGTTAAGACATGTTGCTATTAACAGCCCTGTTGAGACCATGACTTCCTTGACTCTATCAATGCCACCAACTCGTCCACTTCCTCTTTTTCATTTTAATGTGAACATTATCATCTTTTCCACTGACTTATGGATCCACTGGACCTATTTACACCATGGTAAGGTCTAATTGGAGTTGGCAGAGGAAATTCTCTTCTCCCCTGATGCTCCGCATCCCTCTCCAAGCTTGCTCCAGAAGTCAGCTCTAGATCTTTGTAGAAACTTCTTAACTGTGTAAGTGTGTGAGTGTGTGAGGAGGAGGGGAGGTGCAGCCACATGACAGAAAATGCTCTTAACTGAGCGGAGGTCCACTTGAGTAATGTTTGGTGTTGCCTGAAAATAATGTTCAGAGGTTTTCAAAATAGCAACATTAATTTCACATAGGGTTCGCCATCAGGAAACAGCTATCAACAAGTTTGTGTCCTATTTAAATATTTATTTCAGTTAACCTAGCCATGTGTTTCTCTGTAAAAATGTCATTGTACACAATAAATTATATCATGCACACATGTTTTGTCTTTAGTGAAAATTGCACCCCAAAATACAAGAATTCTTGGAATCTTGTTCTTTCTGTTTATAAGAAAACGTTTCCAGTTCTTAAAGAGGAGATATCTCTTACAATAAGAGACACCCACTAGCCTTACAAGGAACAAGCTTTTTGGCTCTCATATAATAGGCATAGGTAAAGGTTGTCCCCTGACATTAAGTCCAGTCATGTCTGACTCTGGGGTGTGGTGCTCATCTCCATTTCTAAGCCGAAGAGCCAATGTTGTCCGTAGACACCTCCAAGGTCATGTGGCCGGCATGACTGCATGGAGCGCCGTTAATAGGTATATTTCATAGTAAAAACATATTTCATAGTAAAAAGTAATAATAGGCATATTTCATAGTAAAAACTGGAAAGTCGACTTGAATATAATTATTATCAACAGCAAACTCTACCTATGCAACTTATATTCCAATCATAAGTTTGGAGTTGTAACTATTTTAACATTTTACTTTAGAGTAAGTCCTCAGTGAACTCAGGAGCAAGTTCTTAAGGAGAAATTCTAAATATTCTTCTTTATCTGCAGGTTTTCCAGTTGTCACATTATGTTTTTCATAAACGGAACAAGAAACTATCTCAATACTCCTTTTGGATTCTTAGGTTCAGAAAACGATTTCCGTTAAGGTGTGTGCTTAACTTATTATTAAAAACATCTATGATTCAGAACTACCACTCTTACCACTGTCACCTCCAACACATATCTCTAAAAGCAAAACATACAAAAGCAAAGCAAGCCATGCTGGTCCTTTTAAAAAAAACCTCTAGATACTAAATTGGGCTAAACTTTGAATAGACGAGTGGTTCTCAACCTGTGAGTCCCCAGATGTTTTGACTTTCATCTCCCAGAAATCCTAACAGCAGGTAAACTGGCTGGGGTTTCTGGGGGTTGTAGGCCAAAACACCTGGGAACCCACAGGTTGAGAACCACTAGACTAGACCAATCAAAATGTCACAAAATAATAAGCCAAACTTAAAGATCTTACAGTCTCTTCAAAGGTAGGGCAGTGGAATGATTCATGTTTCCATATAATGTATAGGAGGAAAATAGGTGGCCATACTGGCTAGCCTCCTTCTCTCTACTGTCCAGTAGCCATATCCACTCATTCACAACCAGCACATGAGAAGCTTTACACTAGGGCTTTGAAAGTTCCTTTTTGGATGGGAAGTCCTAGAAGTTCCCATCCAACAGGGCTGTATACTGAAGTTTGAAACAATCTGAGTTTCTCATTTCTTCTCTTATATAATACAAAATTATCATTATTTATGCCTTTGCAGTTAATGTTCTTACCAATAAAGGGATATAAAAATTGGAGAGCTGAGAGAATTAGGTGTCCCACAAAACCATATGATTTATTGACCAGTGCTTGGTAGCTGTTGGTTCCAGACAGGTTCCCTCCTTTAATCAACAGAACAATAGAATAATCTGTTATGGGGGGAAAAGATAAATTCTATTAAAATGTTTAATTTGGCACATTTCTCTTAGATAAATGACTGAAATGAATATAGATTAGAAATATAGACTAACAGTGGGAAGAAATGTTATACGTACAAAAATAACAGGAAGCCTTTAAAATAAACTTTGGTGGCACTACATCACCATACATTCAGTGATAACAATGCTGCAGTTCTATTTATTTATTTATTTATTTATTTAAATTTATGTTCCACCTTTCTACCACAATGGGACTCAAGTTGATTTGCAATGTAAACTAAAGCAAAAACTTTAACAAGAGAAGCATCGTAATTGTCAGGAAATGATACTGTAGTTCCATTGGACCAAAGAGCAAACTCTAATTTTAAACAAAGCAAGTCAAGAGCCATGGGTAACAGATGCTAAAGCTAAAGCAATCCTCAATGCAACTGTTCTTTCTTTTTTGTTTGGACATGGAGATGGTAGTCCTAACCTACCTTGCTACCCTAATATGTGGTGGTGGGAATACTGGTTCAACATAAATTGCTGAAATAAAGTTCAACTAGTAGTCCATTTAACTTATCTCCATGCAATGGCGAATGGGGCATTACCTTGTTTTTCGCTCTAGGTTAGTGGTTCTCAACCTGTGGGTCCCCAGATAATTTGACCTTCAACTTTCAGAAATCCTAACAGCTGGTAAACTGGCTGGGATTTCTGGGAGTTGTAGGCCAAAACACCTGGAGACCCATAGGTTGAGAACCACTACGAGTCTAGGTCATCAGGTTATTCCCTCAAGGTATGCCTGGCCTGTAGGCAGTATTAAGGGGGATTTTAAGCAGGGAATTGTTTTGTCCTGATCTCATTAGTTCATATACACAAAAAAGTTAAGATACATATGTAAATCCGTAAAGTTTCATATGTCTTTAAATTGTTGTTTACAATGATAAAAAGAACAATCTCAAATCCACCACAAAAAAGAACCAACGGACTGTATGTCTGACCAATGGACATTTCCCACACTAAAACTGATAGATGTAAAAATGAAACAATTAGATACACACAGACACACATCTCATTATGTTCTATTGAACTGTGAAAGAACAGCCAACAGAGCACAATATTAAAACTTTCTTAGTTATCCCAGAAAACAAAATTAAGGAATTTTAAAATACCTGTGATATATCCAACACCTAATAGCAGTAGTATTCCTAATGGAAAGCCAGCTTGCTTCAATGAATAGGGGAGCCCTGTGAGCACAAAGCAAACACACACACAAAAGAGCCAAAATCCAAATTATAGAACAGTGGTTCTCAACCTGTGGGTCTCCAAGGGTTTTGGCCTACAACTCCCAGAAATCCCAGCTAGTTTACCAGTTGTTAGAATTTCTGGAAGTTGAAGGCCAAAACATCTGGGGACCCACAGGTTGAGAACCACTTCTATAGAATAAGCAAAACTATTAAAAGTCAGAATGTTTTACATCCAGTTAATCCCCAACCTCCATACCTATCACTACCTCCTCCGCTGCGATGGCATCCCTCCTTTCTTTTGCATCTGGAAAAGATCCTATCTTCCAGATAAAAGTGCATTGTTTGTTTGTTTGTTGGGTTAACTTTGAATGGCCGAATTGGGGCCACTACATCAAATAAGATTTGAGCATGATCAGGCTGAGAAAAGAGCCGCTCAACTTTATATATCTATTGATGGATAAATGGGTGTAGTGGGTGTCTCACAAGCAAGGATGTTTGCCATTCTGCCCACTGTGAGGGGCTTCAGTTCACCAAGTATGCACCCAATTGAGTCCACCATGTCCCTAACATGTGCCAATATCTCCCCTTCTTTGGAGAGAAGCCAAAACTGCCTGAAAACAGGGCTGCAAACAGCTAGCTGTCCTGTGCAGAAGTAGCTACAGTGAATTCTCCCTCCCCTGCTTCCTCATGTGTAGACAGAGGAGGAAGGAGATAACCGACAGGCGGAGAAAAGCTAAATGTTCCCAAAAGAATGGGTATGATTTTCCAAAATGTTCATATAGTAAGCAGAGGAGGGCACTGAGCCACTGCCTAGTTAGGCATTTTCCATTCTTCTGGGCTTGTATTATGTTGTGCAATAACGTTCTGTGAACAGGTATCCATGACAATCTACTCTGGTGGAAAACATCCATTAATCTTTTTTAAAGCCTACCTAGCAATTTTAATAGATCTTCCTGATTTTATACTGTGACATCATTTGTAACTAAAAATACCAATACATAACAAACCAATGGAACAAAAATATTTACCTATCATTCCAGATCCTATAATAGAATTGATAACATTAAACATAGCTGATGAAAGGTTGCTAGTTCCTTGTTTAGGCCTCAGTTTACAAAGCAGGCTTGTCTTTTCATCTGTTTCTTCCTATTTTAACAAAATGAAAGTGCTATCAAATAATAATATATGCATGTACACACTCACACACACACAATCAGTCTCAGAAAATGGCAAATCAGTGTAAAATACTGGGTATAATCTAATGTAGTTTGATATTGATGGGTTATCAGAGATATCAAGATGCTTAAGGTTCACTCTTCCATGTAAGAAAGACAATAGTTAGAGAGTTTTCCTGTGCTTGTTATAGTCTTCTCATTATGTGGCCAAAGTAATTATTATTACAGAGTTCCAAACTGGGGAAGACTGGGCTCTCTACATAAATTGCTGGCAGCTGGTATACTGTCACATTCTTGGGACAGCTTTGATTCCGTGTGGACACTCATGTTCCTGTGCAATTTCTTTTAGTGCTTCTGAGAAGATTTTTACATTTTATGTTACTGAATTAAAATATTCTAAAAATCTATTGGAAGAATTTAATCCCTTTATCACAATTTACTCTTTACACACCAAAAAAAAAAAAAACCTCTTAGGATGCAACCAGAATGTAGATGCAATGCAGTCTGACACCACTTTAACTCAATGCTATGGGATCCCACAATGTAGTTGTTGAGATGCCACTACTCTTTAGTAGAATTGTAGAATTATAGAGTTGGAAGAGACCTCATGGGCCATCCAGTGTAACCCCCTGGCAAGAAGCAGGAAAATCGCATTCAAAGCACCCTCAACAGATGGCCATCCAGCCTCTGTTTAAAAGCCCCCAAAGTAGGCACCTCCACCACACTCCGGGGCAGAGAGTTCCACTGCTGAACAGCTCTCACTGTTAGGAAGTTCTTCCTCATGTTTGGGTGGAATCTCCTTTCCTGTAGTTTGAAGGCTACAGAGGTGGCTAAAGACCTTGCAAAACTACAACTCCTAGGATTTCACAAAATGGAGTAATGGCGGTTTAAAGTGGAGTCAAACCGCATTCATTCCCAAGTGTAGGTGCACTCTTAGTCACATATTACAAAATAAAATGCCAAAGCAATTTCTAGGGGGAAATTATATGGGGGATTTAGGATGCCAAATGTCTCTAGCATTCAGCCAATATCCCATATCCACGGATTCTGCGTCCACAATGACACACCCACAGCTTGAAAATATTGTTTCCAAAGTCACAGCTCCTCTGATCCCAGAGCATTGAGCCCGGGCAGTTGATTAGTGCCAAGCTGCAGTCATTCTCCAGGACAGATGAACCCTTAATAGAAAGTCTGGGTAGAGATCTTACCTGATGGACAGAGCTGGGCGCAGTGGGCAATGGGTATTGCTGTTGCTCCCTTGGATCCTCCATGCCCTCTTTGTTCAAGGGTGCCTTCGCTCCGGATCCACTGATCCCACCCGTGGACGCCATCAGGAGCAAAGCAGTGATGCGATTCCAATAGTCGGCTGGTCAATGTGGGAGGTTGAACTCAAGCCAGGCGTAGAAAGGCAACGCAGCAGCGCCCCCTGGAGGAAGGAAAGGGCTCTGCGCCGAAGAAGAAGGCAGGCAAGTTGAACGAGTGAGATCCCCATCCAGAGGATGCATCTCCACTGGAGAATGAATACCGTTTCACACCTCTTTGACTGTCATGGCTCAGTGCTATGGAACCATGCGGAGTTTTACAAGGACTTTAGCCTTTTCAGTCAAAGAGTCCTGAATCCTCACCAAACTACAGCTCTCATGACTCCACAGTATTGAGCCAGGGCAGTAAAACTGCATTCATTCTACAGTGGAGATGCACCCAGGGCTTGAATAGCCTCCAGCCTAGGGGGAGAGGCCCCAGCGACTATGGGGAGATGAATAAGGAGTGACACCTTCCTAAGTTTTGAAGCTCCTGTGTATAGTAGTAGTAACACTACATAACATAATAAACAAACCCCACTTGCCTAGTTTCCAACAGACCTCACAGCCTCTGAGGATGCCCACCACAGATGTGGCAAAACATCAAGTAAGACTGCTTCAGGATAGTAAATAAAGAACGAAATTCAAAAATGGGGGAATTCCAGACAAGAAACAACCAAAGCCAGCTAATCACCTCCCAACAAAGGATTCATCCAGGCAGAAAGCAGTCAAGCTTTGAAGTTGCAATGCCAAACAAAGTGATCAATTGCAACATTCACACTTGCATCAAACAGACAAGAGTTCTTTCTCCTACCCTGGACTTTCCACAAATATATAAACCCCACTTGCCTAGTTTTCAACAGACCTCACAGCCTCTCAGGATGCCTGCCATAGGTGTGGGCAAAATGTCAGGAGAGAATGCTGCTGGAACATGGCCATACAGCCCAGAAAACTCACAGCAATCCACTATGTAACACATTTTTTGTCCCTGGGTTATAAATGTCTTTTCCTAATTGGTTCTGTCATAAAAACATGGGAAAAGTATATTAAACTGAAAAAACTTTGTTTTTGCAGGACATCCTGCAGCACATTTTGCTATAGATTTCTCATTGAGTCTCAACCAAATAGTTTGTGGCAGCCACAAAAATCAAGTTTTTGGAGTATAACAAATACTTTCAAAGTAAGTAGTACACAATAACATTGTCAGACCAGGAGAGATTTTTTTTCCAAATTTTACTTAGTGTAATAGTCCTTCTCCTTCTTCTAAAGACCACAGCCAATGGAAAAGTCCAAAGTGCAGCCCTTAAAGGGGCTAATTTCTCCATGGCCTTTTAATTCATCTCAACTAGAATGCTTGTAGCTTGGTAGCACTTTAAACTGCCATGATTCAATACTATGGGATCATGGGAGTTGTAGTTCAGTGAGGTTAAGGTAAAGGTTTCCCCTTGACAGTCGTGTCTGACTCTGGGAGTTGGTGCTCATTTCCATTTCTAAGCCAAAGAGCCGGCGTTGTCCATAGACACCTCCAAGGTCATGTGGCCAGCATGACTGGTTGTAATTCTCAGGATCTAATAGGTAGGGGTTTCTGGGAACTGTGGTTCACAAAAGAAAGATTTCCAAGTTCTGCTCCAAACTGGTTTAAATTGCCTTTCAATTGGATTGTTGTAGATTTTTCGGGCTGTATGGCCATGTTTTAGAAGCATTCTCTCCTGACGTTTTGCCTGCATCTGTAGCAAGCATCCTCACAACCTCGAAAAACATACAACAACCCAGTAATTCCGGCCATGAAAGCCTTCGACAATACATTTCCTTTCAATTGTTTGCCACTAGTTCTTCTTGCAACTTTATATCCTGTCCTATGACAAAATACCTATGTGAGTAAGCAGTTTGCTATCTTGTGGATGTCTAGGGATGCATCTACACTATAGAATTAATGCAACTTGATACCACTTTAACTGTCATGGGTCAATGATATGGAATCCTGTGAACTGTTGTTCAGCATTTTTTGCCTGAAAAGGATAAAGATCTTATAAAACTACAACACCCAGGATCCCATAGCACTGAGCCATGGTAGTTAAGCTGTTATCAAACTGCATTAATTTTTGAGTGTGGATAAAGCCTTGGGTCTCAAAACAGCCTCTTGATCTATTTCTCTGACCAGATGGCCTCACTTAAAATGGAGGCAGTGGGAATATATCCCATGCTTTCTTCTTCCCAATCTGACACAGAGATGTCAGTTGTTTTACCAAAGCCCAAATCAGCCGAGAGAGAGAGAGAGAGAGAGAGAGAGAGAGAGAGAGCAGTCAGCTGAAAGGCTCAGAAGCCTAAGCCAACCTTTCATTTAGTTTCAGCCTAGGCTGCTCCCTGATCCCCTTGTGCCAATTCCCACTGTGATTATGTATGGTTGGTTTACGATAAAACTCCAGAGGTCATGATGGAATCATTTCACACAAGACGGAGGGTGTTAAAAAGCACTGGGGAAAATGTGAGCAGTCTTACACATTCATGGCGGATCTCGTTGAACATCAGAAGTACAACATTCCATCTTGTCTGAAAAGATTTTCATGTGAAAAGTGATATCTGTGTGACCTGTTATCATGTGTAAGACTGCAATGATTACATGCATCTTGGGAAGCGATGTGAACTGATATTATAATATGTGAGACATGGGGAACTTTTGATCCTTGCCTCAGCTATGCTGACTTGGGCAGAGAGGAGTTGCAGTTTAAGGCTATCTGGAAGGGTCCTTTCAGACTGGATAATTATAGCACTATGATTCCACTTTAACTACCATCCTGTGGAATTCTGGGATTTGTAGTTTGGAGAGCCACAGGAATTCTCTGGCTCAGAATTGGAAAGACAATGCCCCATCTACACTGACCATTTAAGGCAGCTTCAAGATGGATTGAGACTGTGGCAACTACAAAATACACACTTATGCTTAGGCAATCTCTCATTGTCTGAGTATGAGGGCCCTCCAAGTGTAGTGTCTTGGCGGTGGATATGTAGATGACTGTGAAGCTCTGCATGTTCTTCCACAGTGAGGGCATCGGTTTCCAGGTGGAAAGCGGTCCCGGTCAGGTTTGGCTTGACACGCCTTCCTCTTGGAACATTTCTCCCTTTTGTCCTCCATTTGTGACTCTTTGAATTCTGCAGCATTGCTGGTCACAGCTGACCTCCAGTTAGAGCACTCAAGGCCCAGGGCTTCCCAGTTCTCAGTGTCTATGCCACTGTTTTAAAGGTTAGCTTTAAGCCCATCTTTACTGAGGAGCCCCCGGTGGTTCAGTGGGTTAAACCCCTGTGCCAGCAGGACTGAAGACCGACAGGTCGCAGGTTTGAATCCGGGGAGAGCGTGGATGAGCTTCCTCTGTCAGCTCCAGCTCCTCATGCGGGGACATGAGAGAAGCCTCCCACAAAAATGATAAAAAACATCAAAAACATCTGGGCGTCCCCTGGGCAATGTCCTTGCAGACGGCCAATTCTCTCACACCAGAAGCAACTTGCAGTTTCTCAAGTCGCTCCTGACACGACCAAAAAAAAAAAAGCCCATCTTTAGATCTCTTTTCCTATCCACTAACATTACATTTTCCATTCTTGAGTTGGGAGTATACTAACTGCTTTGGAAGATGGTGATCTGATATTTGGACAATGTGGCCAGTCCAGTGGAGTTGATGGCGTAGGAGCATCGCTTCAGTGCTGGTGTGGTCTTTGTTTCTTGCAGCACACTGACATTTGTTTGCAGCACACTGACTTCCCAAAAGATTTGCAGGATTTTTTGGAGCAACACTGATGGAATTAATCCAAGAGTTGAGTGTGACATCTGTAGACAGTCCACGTTTCACAGGCATATATAGTAGGGTTGGGAGGACAATAGCTTTATAAACAAGCACCTTGGTCTCCCTACGGATGCACACCACCAATGCACACTGTGGCACAAATGAAAGGGGCCACAATGCATTTAAAAAGTTTCAGGTAAGTCCACGTTAAGCTCTTTAATGCACTGAAGCTGATCCCAATATATCCGATAACCCAGTGAAAGATCACAATTTATTATTTAATTTTATTAAAATGTTTATTTTAAAAGCAATTTCACAATTTCCACTAAGGTTACTATTAAAAACAAATAGAGCTGAAAATCAAAAGAATTTCTGGGGTATAACAACTGCTTTCAAAGTAAGTGCTGTACAATTAAACAAGAAATAACATTTTCAAATCAGGAACAGATTTTTTTCTAATGTTCTTACATAGTGTTATTATATTCACTGAACAGCAGATTGGCAGTGACTGAAAACTGCAATCCTAGAAAGAGACAGAAAAGCCTCCTGTATTGGCAGGCAGAGTTATCTGGCATTGCTTTACAGCTTCTCCTCTTCCAGCTGTTGAGGTTGCCAACATTCTTGGATATATTTTTTCAATAGCTCTGATGTCACCTTGAATGCTCCAGTTGCACAATACCTTCTATTTGGAACGATGCTCAGTTTTGTTAGAATGGATTTAGCTTCGGCAGCTGTTGTTTCTCAAAGAAAGTATCTCCCATGATTTCTCCGTCTTGTCACATCCAATCAAAATCACTTTCTTACGTTTGGGTTTCTGGCAAGTCCAGCATTGAGGGAGGCAGAGGAAGGTGGCATTATCAAATGGCAGACTGTAGAAACCGGAAATAAGGTGATAGAGTAAAAGAATGATATGTGTCATGATAGCTGCCTTGCGCTCCCAAATGTAGTCTGCCAGCTTCAAGTACACAGACAGTGATTTGCTGTCATGAGTTTTAGAATATGAGTCAGTTGCCAACTTGGTCAACTTTTGTACATGGGCCCTAAATTGGGAGACAGATTAACACATACATAATACCAGGGGCGGCTCGTCCATTACGCGAAGTAAGCGGTCGCAGAACACTTTTTTTTGCCAGGGGCGCAGAGGCGCCTCTGTAAATGCCCCTCGACCGCCACTTGAGGAGCGCCCCCTCAGCTCACAACAGCCCTAGCAGCTTTCTTGCCTTGCTGCCGGGCGATCCTCTTCCCAAAGGGGCCGGGCCCATGAGTCTCGCCTAGCCCCTCTCGTTCCTGCTCCACCCGGCC